GCAGCATGGCCAACGCCCCGATCCCAAAAGGATCTTCGAAAGTGGTTGGGCTTGGCTAACTACCTTCACAAGTACAGCGCAGGGTACGCGGGCTTCGCTAAGCCCTTGTCGGGCCTCAGAAGGACGCCGACTGGCGCTGGGAGCAAGAGCTTCAGGATGTCTTTGACAGCATCAATGCCAGTTTCCAAGGGGCCCCTGTCCTGGCCCTGCCGGACGAGACGAAGCCGTTTAGCGTCGTTTGCGATGCCTCCGATTTCTCCATCGGATGTGCATTACTCCAGGCCGATACGGCTGGGCACGAACGAGTCATCTCGTTCCAGTCCAGGCAGCTCAAAGCCGCCGAACGGAACTGCCCTGTTCACGACAAGTAGCTCCTGGCAATGAAGTATGCCCTTGTGAAGTTTCGTGTTCACCGTTTGGGCTCCCGGCTCTTCATGATCTACCCAGACCACGCATCCTTGAGGACGGCGACCAATGCGCCTCACCGCTCCCAAAGGATGGCGATGTGGCTGTCTTTCTTCGCGGAGTACAACTTCCGCGTCGTGTACAAGCCGGGCAAGCGCAACGTGCTTGCGGACGCCCTATCTCGGCGTCCTGACTACGAGTTGGCCCATATCACACGAGTGACAACAAATCTGTATGATCGGATACGCATGGCGTATCGGGATGATGAGGCTGTCGCGCCTATCGTCAAGTTCCTGACGGCGGGAACGAGCGCGAAGTCCGACTGGCTCTCGTCGCGACAGCGCTCACGGCTCCACCGATATGAGTGGAGGGATGGCCTCGTCTATTACCGGGTGAACCTCCAAGGGTGGTTGTACCCAGCGACGAGGATCTGAAGTTCGACTTCCTTGCGGGGGCGCACAACGCGTCCTCCAGCGGCCACTTAAGCCGCGCGAAGACCTTTCTGTCAGTCTCTCAGGCCTTCTGGTGGACCCACATGTACAAGAGGGTCTTGTCGACCGATACGTGAAGACATGTGAAACATGTCAGCGGGTCAAACCCGCAGGGCACGCTTCGGCTCCACTACAGAGCCTGCCCGTTCCGGCTGAATGTTGGAAGTCGATGGGTCTTGACTTCAGCTTTGGGCTTCCCGCCGACGGACACGGCAACACCGGAATTTTGGTGTTTGTGTGTCGGCTGAGCAAGATGGTACATCTTGCTCCGGTTTCCGTCACTGTAACGGGCGAACAAACCGCAAGGTTGTTAGTCGATGGCGTGTTCCGCTATCATGGTCTCCTGGAGACGATTATCTCGATCCGATACCCGCGGTTCACAGCTGCGTTTTGGAAAACGCTGTTTCCTTTACTGTTAACGCGTCTGCAGGTGTCCACTGTGGACCATCCGCTGACGGACGGCCAGACAGAGCGCATCAATAGAGTGCTCGAGAACACTCTGCGCAGTGTGTGTGTGCGGCAGCACCACGTACGTGGTCGATGCAGCTTCCAGCTGTTCCGTTTGCACTCAACAACGCGGTGCACGCGATCACGGGGCTCACGCCGTTCTACTGGAACGGCTTCCGTCACCCCAGAGTGCCTCTCACTCTTCGAGGAGACACTGACCCCTCTATTCTAAGTGGGGGAGAGGTTCGGAAAACCCTTTCCTTCCAGGTCTCGGATGTGAGACCGGTTTCGCTGCGGAAACAAGTGGAATCTTTTATGGATACCAAGCTGAGCGTTGTCAGCAGGGTCCGCGAGGTCATGGTAGCGGCCCAGGATAGACAAAAGGAGTATTCAGACCAACATGAAAGAGGAAACTTAAGTGTATTTAAAGTGGGGGACTTAGTGTTACTAGACACGCTAAATCTACCTATTCACACTGTCAGCTCTGTCGGCAGCAACAAGCTGAATCATTGCTTCATCGGACCACTTGCAGTCTTGGCCAGACATGGTGCGTCGTGCACCATCGACCTGCCAAAGTCAATGACGACGCACCCGACGTTCTGTGTTGGACGTCTTAAGCGGTACTTTGATCCGCAGGGGGCTGCTGACTCGCAGACCCACCTTGGCCCAGCTCCTCAAATCGATGGCGGGTCACAGACATCGACGAGGGCGTCGGAGCAGGCGCCGAAGCCTCGGGCTGAATAGCAATGCTGCGGACAAGACCGTACGCAGGAGGGGCTCCGTACGAGCGATCCCCGGAGCCATACGCCGAGTACGCTGGGTACGCCGGGTACGCACCATACGCGTACGTCTGGGAGTGCGTCGAAGGCTGCTCCGGACGTGGCAACAGAGCCTCGATCCGTCGGACCATGCGGAAGCCCTCGTCCAGATCGGTCGAAGAGGCCCGGCGATCCACCCGCAGATGCAGGGTCGCGACCTCACGCTCCAGCAGGTCCAGGCGGCCCGCAAGACGAGCGAGCTCGCCCTGATTCCTGGTCTGGGCGGCAGCATCACCGCCAGTCCCAAGGCCAAGTGCGATCTCAAGCACGAGGACACGCTGACGGAGGCGGTCAACCTCAAGGCCCTCTGTCGGACCCGCCGCCGGAGCACTCGGACGAGAGTGATGTTCAGGAGGCGCCGAGTACTCGTACTTGTACGAGGGCACCTCCGCCCCTGCTTGACCAGAATGGAGAATTCCACTTCCACGTGGAGCGGATCCTCCAGGAGCAACGGCGTCGCAGTAAGCGACAGCTCCTCCTGAAGTGGAGGGGTTATACCCACTCCGAAAACGCGTGGGAGCCGATTGAACGGCTCCGGATTGACTGACTGAAGGCTGTCGCAATCTGGGAACAGAAGCGGTGGCGGCTTCATAAGCAGTCCGGGGCTTCTTGCCCGAACGGGGTACGGACGATGAATACATTCCGTTCCCGCGCACATCATGGGCGCTAGATGCCGCGCGCTTCAGGATGTCTCTTGGCAGCATATGCTTGATGACCAAGTGGGCAAAGCGAACACGAAGATCACGCTGGTCCAGGATGCGGGACAGCAGCTGATCTCATGGAGCTCCCGTAACTTCGTGGGTGGGTACTTGAGAGACTCCACCCAAGCCCAGAACATGTCCTCACAAGAACTCCAAGTGGCGCAATTCTCGGGTAGAACCCAGGGGTAGCCACAAAGAGGGTAGAGACCACCCCGGTTTTTGGGCTTCTTGCGACAAGTCGTAAAGTCCTTAAGGGGGATGCGGTGTGGCGCGAGAAGCACACACCGAGCAGCCTCCAAAATGTCAGCGAACAACTGTTCTTTCTGAACAAGGTCACGTTCGTAAATGCCCCTAGAAGTGTGGCCGCCCACAAGACCACAAGGAGCGACAAGAAGCTCTAGGAAGAGGTCAGCCCCAGAGCTCTCATCGGGAGGCGAATTCTCTCTTGAGTTGACGACAGCTCCCTGGTTGACGGGTGCCACCACCGAACCCCCCCCCCACGCACACGTTGGGCAGCTTGGAAGTCCACCTGCTGCTGGTCGAGGTCTTCGTGACCTCCCGGGGATCAGAGATAGCCCCCTTCCGACTCCTTCTCCTCCTCTTTATCCGACGAGTCGAAAAGGCCCCGATGGGAGTGCCGAGTCTCCTTCTTCTCGCGGAGTGGGGACTTAGAGGCCGTTCGCTTCGTTTGGGGCTTGGCGCCTTCGGCTTCTGAGGCCTTAGCACGTGCAAGACCCTCGGCAAGCGAGAGACGTCTGCAAGGATTCTCTTCCTCATCGCCACGAGCTTTGGGAGTGCCCTTAGCCTTGACGGCCGGACTCTCAGAGTGCACAGACATTGTGAAACTGTGATCACCTTGATCACTAGCGAGCGACCGCACGCTGTTGTTCTTGTGCTCACTGGGCACTGGGCTGTGCCCTCCCGCAGAGCCCGCAGGAGCATCTGCGTGCTCTCGGACTCGAACCCTCGGTTCGTAGAATGTGAGTTCGATTCTGGCAGTGAGGAGGAAGCCGGACGATTGTCTGGAGAGGCCGAGGGCGACGGGCTGCGGCGCTTGCTTGTTCGCTTGCCCACAGCCTTGTCGCCCGATGGGGCGATCGCCTCGGAGACCACCTGAGTAGCCTCCTTAAGAGCCGAGTCTTTGCCGTGAGGCTTAGCGCTCTTGGCTTGCGCCTTTCCGGCAGCAGCCTTGGAGCGTGTCTTCGCACCGCTCTTTGCAGTGCCACGAGGCATAGTAAACGGTCGAAGTGGAGATTTAGAAGAAGGGTGCACAGACTGCTGCTCGAGGCTCTAACTGTGAAGTGAGCCTCCGCCGCACTCGCGCGGCCAAGTCGATGGTTTTCGACTTTGAGAATGAAAATTTGTGACAAACACCTCTTCATTCTGAATGGTCGGTAAACCGGACCTTAGTGGGGGAGATTGTAACGGGGTACGTAGCCCTAAGTGTACCCCTAGTTACATAAATAGTGACACGTCATTCTTCGGTATATTTGGTACAAGGTACCAAGGTCGTCCAAAGCCAACCATTGGCTGATGACATTGCTTTTCTATAGGTGACTTATAATTTGTATTAAACCCAAGCTTTATCTACGTATAAATATATTCAGTTTACATTCTACCTTAAATAGGTCACTTCGCTTTCTTTTGAATAAAGAGGAGACCTGTGAGCTGCCGTTCACTGAGCGTTTTTATACTTTGGGAAGCTAACTTTCTCTAGCGCAAGGTGCTGTGTGACCCCGTCACAGCTTCGCTGACAACATCTTCGACAACATGCATTGTTCAGAGTTTCTTCACCCTAAGATTGATTCGGCTGATCTACGAACTCCTCTTCTAGAAGAACGGCCGCCCTGCTGCTTTATCTAGGAATGACAGGACATTGTCGTCTACACCTCCAAGTGCCGCACATACCCTAGCAACATTGGGATTGTGACGTACTGCCGTACGTGAGCTGCAAGTGCGCAGCACTATGCTCTTCGTGACCGTGATCTTCTACCGTACTTGAAGCAGGAGGCGAGCTGCGCTCCACATCGCTCCTGCGTCCTGCCTGCTGGTCCCTAAGGCTCGAGATCCGACGCGCCGTCGCCGAACCGTACTGCGTACGAGAAGAAGCAGGTGCGCTGCACCATGCTCTCACCTGGATGCAACCAAGGCATAAGGCCGACGCGTCGTCATCACTGCAGATTCCTGAGTGCCTCATGCCGGTAACGTGTCCAGCGAAGCCCGGTTGGGACACCGCGTGGACTGTCGCCAGTAATGCCAAGCTCAGCCTGAGCAAGACACCGCGTCTTGCTGCCAGTAACGCTGCCGGTGAGGCCTGGACAAGACGCCACGCCATCTCATCCTGCAGCAGCACTGCATTGAAAGCATCGGATGCTACCTTTGCTGTGTGAGTTGGTTCTGCAACGGGCGCTGCCGTTGCCGAGACGATGCCGCTGCTCGTCCGTTAACATAGCTGTAGGACAGTTAGGTAACGACCTAATATTACTCGCACGGGTTGAAAGGAGCGGCGAAGGCACTCGAACGGAGCGCACTGGGCTTGACAGCTCACTCTCGAACTTACCTCGAGCTCGCCAAGCCATCCTCAAGTCCCTGTAAGGCTGCGCCTTGCACACCGGTGTCCAGTAGTATTTCCCTTGCTGCAACAAGCAGCATTGTAACAGGGTCGAGGCGTCATGGATTCCTCTGCTGACAAGTCCACTGACAGCGCCTCGTCTTAGGGATTACATGCAAAGGAGGCTTTCATTATTCGCTAACTTCGTTGGCTCAACGCTGTGTTGATTTAACCGAAGAAGTTCACGCACCATAAAGAAATTTCATAAAAGGTACCAAAACGGGCGCCTTAAAAATTTGCGCACCCTTAATGTAATTGTTATACTTTAAGAGTTGCAAAACTTACACGCGGATTTTTAAATTCTTTACAAATTACCGATACGCACAGTACATACACTTTTAAGTACAATTAATGCTGGCTGTTGGATTTAAAGGCCTCATTTCAGAAAACGCGCCACGCATCAAACACTGCATCGCGGACGTTTCCGGGCGGGTTTCCTCCCCGATGACAAATACACCGACGCCCCTGCGACAGGCGATCTCTGCGCAGGACCGCTTCACGGAAGCAGACGCCCCTAGCATGACGGACGGTACTTATTTAAAATTATTTGTGCGGTAAACTGAGCTATTCTGACATGCATTTTTGCAAGATGAAATTCCCGCCCAATTCGAGCTCATTTCATCTCCCGGAGGTGACGATCAAGATGATGACAGCGAACGGGACTTCGTATCGGACCCCCGGTTCGTCTTCCGTAGATGACGATGGAGACGACGACTTCGAGCCTCCCAGGGATTCAAGCAACTCGAGCGATACGCTACAGGACCTTTTGAACGAGATTGGTGAGCGTTTATTGTTTTGAATTACATAGTTTCCTATAAACGCTGACACATTGCTTAAACGATGGTATGGACAGACGATAGAGGTAGCGCACGGAAAAGAAGGGGTTGGTGCTCGAGTTCGTATTGATAAGACCACTGTATGATTACGGACTGATTGGTGCTTACAAATTTGATGCGGCTCTCAAGGCAGACCAAAAGACTCGAAAAGGAAGAAAAAGAGGATCCCGTCGCGCGAGAAAATCTGATAAGCGTAGGCGCCGCGAGTCCGGCGTGGAGAGTTATGGCACTGATGACGGGAGCGTGGCGGATACTGAGTCGTTGCCACCAACAGACGAGGAACGTGAAGACGCGGATGTCGAAAACGTGCAGATGGACCTCCAAGACCCGAATACTGATCGCACGCCTCGGGTCCGACGCACGGAATCATGTTCAGAGCGCGTTGCCTTGGAAAGATCTCGCGTGAGTGTGGTGAATAAGACCCCACCAATGCAGAGGCTTGTTTATTCGTCGTGGACGGAGCTTAGTGACGAGTTGGAGAAGTATAGCTGTGATAACTATCTGTTATTTAGAGCCCGAGACACTCGGACCGTGAAAAAACACAACTCGTACGTCTCATTGTTCGTGTTTTATGAAGCATATACTAACATATTTGCTGCATTATCTTTTAGCATGAGTGATCTTCAAATACCAGTAACAATGGACTACAGCTACAAGGTGTTTCGATGCACCCACGGATGACCGTAGAAGTCCCGCGGTAAAGGCCAACGAAGTACGCCAAGTCGCTATACTGGATGCAAGGCCCTGTACATAGCTGCATCGCTGAATATCGCAGCAGAAGGGCAAGCTGAAAAGTGGCGAATCGTTCTACGCAACTTTGTAAGATTAACATGTCTGTATTGCAGCTTATCCACTTTCGGTGCATGATCGAGTAGATAACGATATTTTTTTGTCTAGACATGGAAGCACAATCATCGCACGAATGCATCTATCTATGCCAGCTATTTCGGGGCTGGATCAATACCAGTACATAGTCTGGTGTACGATCAAGTCGGAGTTCTTGGTGATGCCAGCACTGGATCACATCACATTCAGCATTTTTTGTCAGGGGCTTTGGAGAGGCACGCAACGCCCCAGCAAACACGCAACATAGTGCGAAAGGTTCTGAAGAGCACGTCTGCGGATAAGAAGCTGTCTAGTATGCTGGAAACACTGGCGAGCTTCGGTGATCACGATGTGCCCGTTCTTCGAGATCAAAATGACATCACGAGCGGAGCCGTGATACAGACAGCTGTGCAAAAGCTAGCTTTCGAGCAGTGGGGTGAAACGTTCTGTATGGATTGGACGTATGTAACGAACAACTTGGGTTTTCATCTTGGTATGTGCTTATTTATTGCTGCGCCCTTATCTAAGGTGGTACAACCTTATTTCTAGTTTGTAAAGCTATGATCTGCCGTTTGGTTTGTAGGAAGCCTTCTCGTCACTAGTGTAACAGGTCGTGGTGTACCAGTTCTGGATTTTATTGCACTCGATGAATAGATGGAGACGATGGAGATGATCTTGGAGTATTTCAAGCAAAAGAACTCGCAGTGGTCCGCGGTCGAGACTTTTGTGATTGACAAGGACTTTAAAGAGTGGAGAGTTCTGAAGAAATGCTTTCCTGAAGCAAAAGTGCTATTGTGTCAGTTCCACACTATGGCAAACTGGAAAAGGTCGTAAAGCGCGCCAAGTATGGCCTCAATGGATCTCAGAGGGACGAGGTCGAATTCTCAATGAAGCAGATGATGTACAGCACGACCACAGAGGCTTTCAATCGATCAAGAGACGGGTTTAAGAAATTTTGTAAGGGCGAGTGTCCTGACACTGCCAGAAGAAGATTTTTAAGTATTTTGAAGATAATTGGGAGTGGATTAGTGAGATGTGGTTTAACCATGGGCGTGCAAACTACTTTACGGCTGGAAATACGACGACAAACTGAATCGAGAGCAACTGGAATCAATTGAAACGACTTCTTGGCAGAAAGACAAGAATTGATCGGACAATTGCCAGTTTATCACAGAACCAGGTTAATGTCGTGTACCATTTGCTGACATATCTTCGCAAGTTCTCAAGCCAGAGCCGGAGAGTTGGATCCCCTCCGCCTTTTTTGCATCTTGTTGCAGCCCACTTATCGAACGACAGTCTCGCGAAAGTTTCGGCACAGTGGGATGTATTCATGGTGAACAAGGGAGAAGCTAAATGTGTGCAGGTCGGTCCAACGCAAGCGGATTGGAAGTTGCATCTACCTGAACAAGAAGCAAAGGTAGACGACCTCACGTGGTCGTGCAACTGTCTGTTCTACAAGAGACGTCGCCTGCCGTGCCAACAAGTTATGATGGTCGCTCGGAAAGCTCACGGATTCAAACGACTACCAGCGGGGGTAGTTGCAAGTCGGTGGAGTATGGCAAAAGCAGACGAAATGTACGATTCTCTTGAAAAGGGTTTGGAGCCCCTTCGGCGAGTAATTAATTTGGTGAAAGCAAGACAAGCTCCTGTTATGGCGCCCCAAAGGGCTGCAGCACCATTAGCGCCCGGTTCTTCTCTAATAGGTAAAAACTCTGTGGAATACGTGCGCCTACGGAGAGATGAACAAGCGGATATGATTGTATTATCGGATGCTGAGAAATACGCACGAGCTCAAGCTCTTTTTCAACCGCTTATTGATAAACTCAGTAAGCTATCTACCGTCGACTTTTACGAAGAAATAAACAAATGGAAGAGCGTGGTTGACACAGAATCGGGGGACACTAGTGGTGAGAGCTCGTCTGTTGACGATGCCTCCAATGGATTAGAGACGGACAGCGATTCCGATAGCTTCTTCGACCAGCTCGATTACGCTGACGTAATGGCCGATCTGGAGGCGGACCATGAAGACCGAATCTATTGCTGGATTTGTGCATGATGCGAATGTTGGTGAATGAGATGATGAAAGTCCAGAAAGCATGGAGTCTTCTTCTCAGCCCGAGGACGACGAAGCCGATCGGGTAAAATCATCCAAAACTGAGCTCAAAAGATGCGAAGGGAAAGATGAATGTCAAGTCGATGATCACTCTGCTGTCAAGAGTGTCGCGAAGACCCTTCCTATTGTTCAAGATAAGGCTAAACCAAGTTCTTTTGAAGTTCTTCGATTACCCCCTCCAAAACCCAGGACAAAAAAACTAAGCAAGGGTGGATCACGAAACAACCCAAGTTTGCCGCCGTTTTGGTCTCCGCCGACGTCACGACTACGCTGACTCAAATCATCCAATGGGCGAATTACTGCCCAAAATGTGGAGAAGGTATCGAATGTTCTGGATCAGTACCCTGTGCGGATGACAGACAAGTTTATCAAGCTCGTATGGCTACGTGCGAAGTCGCCAAAGAAGCAATCGACAGCAAATCCATGGATCACGCGTTCGTCATACCAGAAGCCCTTTTGAAAAAGGCCGATGCTGTCATGGTGCAAAAGAGAGAGATGCTGGCGTAAGATGATGAAGCCCCGCCATGGGTGTTATTGGTTTCTTTCGGGTCAAACTGTCTCGTTCTACACAGATACGTGGAAAACTCGCGAAGATCTAGAATGACTTCTGAGAGTTAAAGGTGCTGTATCTTTATCACCGTATTTGAGTGTTTTTGTTAATCATTCTTATATGTATGTGCTCTAGTTTTTACCTGCACAAAATCAAGCACTTCTACGTACTCAAATCAAAAGCGAGAAGCGCAATGGAGGATATGAAGTGGCTAAAGCAAGAATGGCGCCTAGTGCAAGCCCACCCGATCGAACCATTTTCACTGGAGACTAAAATTAGTGGATTGATCTACTCTACAGCTGCCAAAGCGCACCAAAACCTGGCCGACGCTGTGCGAACGAAGTATTCTGGGCTCTCGTTGATGACAATGTTGAAGACCAAATCTGGTTCTTCTTTTATCAACTTTATCGATAATACGGCTGGTATTGCTCGCGATGTCATGGTGAACGATGCGGTTATCGACATGGCTATCAACATGATCGCAGATACATTGACGGGTTGTGTCGCGCTGTCGTCCTTAATGATATGGTCCACGGCACCCAAGCAGTGGCTTTCTGAGACGCCGTTTGTAATTCTACCGATGCATCTCAGCAGAATTCATTGGGGAGTGATTGTTGTGGAAGTTTCCTTCCCCCACTACACTGCGTGTACATTTCTACGAGACACCTACACCAGCAAATGTATAGGAAACAAATGAAGGGCACATGGAAGGACAAGCTTCGGCCTTACCTAGAGGAGTGGCATTCGAAAAGTGGAGCGAAGGAGCCATTCCCAAAAGAGATTATTAAGAAGTAGGTTAATGTGCTCACCAAAGAATGATCACGTCAACTGCATATAGCAATGCGTATTAATGTTGTCAACGTCAATTAAAAAAATAAAAGCTGCCTTATTCATCAGCATTGTTCACATGTGCACACCTTCACTTGCTGTAAGATTCAACGTAGGCTACCACATCACTGGTTTCTTGATTCGTGCGTTAGGATCCTGATGACTTGTCTCATCAGCACTCCGTACGACGGAGTATAACCACTTGACCTAGGGACAGCGTCGACGCGTGCACTTAACTCGTCTATGACTTTGGTTTCGCGTAGAAGCATTGCTTCAAGCTCCTCGCCAGCCTACTGAAGCTCATTGAGTGCCTCAGCCACCATACGCATCTTGTCTTGCATCTCCTGAAGCTCTGGGGCTCTGGAACGTAGCAGCTGAATCACCAAGACTTGGTGATCCATCGTCCTTGGTATTTGCTTAATGAAAAAAGCACGTGAATCCGACGACAAAACTCGGAAAGGCGCGGGAATCAGACGACGGACTGAAGAACGCACGGGAATCAGATAACAGACTTTGTAAATGTGTGTCCCTATCGTGAAACTTCGCCACAGTCTGCTGTTCCTGTCGTGAAACTTCGCCTCTGTCTGCTGATATTTTGGTTATTTATTTCCTCTTCAGATGAAGGGTGCACGAGTCATATTAGGGTGCTTGTACGATGTTGTATTGTTGTAAGCTAATGGTGCTCTAACGCCATTCTGATTTAACAGCACATTACGCTGGCAGTTTTTTCTTCTATCTTTTTTTTTCATGTGTCGCCAGCTGTTCTTCAGGGAGTCTACAAGTACATGGATGTAACACGTCTTCATATCCGCTTCAATACGAACGGATTTTTCTACCCTTCTTCTTCCTCATTCCAGAAAGAGAATCCGCCGCCTCGAGGAAAAATGGTAGTGGCTTCAATACAGTGCGTGATCGCTGGTCAAGCAGGAAGCTCGTTCGATGTGGAGATCGACGATGCTGCGAAGGTTAGCAAGTTGAAGAAGGCGATCAAGGAAAAAAAGTCCAACGAACTCAAATATGTCGATGCAGACAAGCTACAGCTCTTCCTGGCGAAGCAGCCCATTGCAGAGGAGGGCGGCAAAGAGGTCGTTCCTGATTACCGCCCTTCTGCGAAGGAAATGAAGAAAAGGCTCAAATGGCTCCCAGACGAACATCGGGCTGCTCTGAAGCTGGCGAAAGGAGAATCCGACGACTACATCAATGCGCTGATGGCCGGAGAACAGATTCTAGGCTCAAAGACCTTAGCAACGTGGCTCTACACGAAGAACAACATGGAGCTCCCATCCAGTGAACAAATTCACATGCTGGTGAAGGTGCCGGAGGGGGCTTCAGCAGTGCCTCTTCCAACGACCACTGCACTGAAAGAGCCGAACACATACGCTGAGGAGTGCTTGTCGATCCAAGAATGGGACATTGGCGTTGTGCACAAGATTCCTCTGATTTGGGAATTCATGAGGAAATTGGGCAGATGCACAAACAGTGGGAAAATCTATTGGCGAATCGAAGATAAGAAAGTCGTATCGGTGCTGGTGGATGGCTGGTTTCGTGCGTCTTCTCCCTCGAACATTAACGTGCATGCAAACAAGAAGAGTATTGTGATGGGCTCACCAGGGATCGGCAAGTCGACGCTGTTGTGTTTATTGGCCTTTTATCTCGTTTTCAAGCACAAGACGAATGTGTTGATGTACCGGCGATTGACCTTATTCAAGCAAGAGAACTGCCTGTTATATCTGGGATACGACGGTGACAAGGTCGTATTTTTTTCAAAAGAGTCGTGCAAAGTATCGAAAGCCGAACCTATCTACCAAGCCTTGCGGCGACAGCACGGTGATGCGAATGCGTGGCTGTTGTTGGATGGATTTCACCATCACCAAATTTCAGAAGGCCTCCGAACGTACAACGTGCTGGCGACCTCGCAGCAAGTGAAGTTGAAGGATCACGAAATTACTGATGCGTACCTCTGCCTGTTTCCGTGCTGGAGAAAGCAGGACCCTTTCAAGCTGGGAGAGCAAGTGTACCATTCAGACGCGGTGGAGATGGATAATCGATATTACTATTCTGGTGGAAGCGTGCTCCTTTTCACCCTCCCAACCATCGACTTGATAGAACAAGCGATTCGTGTTGCACTCCACGAGGTGTCTGATGTCGCTCGCATTATATCAACCCAGTCAACTAGCGCGACGAACGACTCACAGGTGGACCGCTTGCGCCACACATTTATCGAGGATGTGGCGAATTTGACACACTATACCAAATCGTCACATTGGCAGCAAATGGTGGACTCGGAATACGCTGTGCGTAAGCTCTCGTTTAAGCTTCCATTGGACGCACTTTTTCTGGTTTATAACTGGGCACGGACGACGAAACATGGAGCACTTGCTGGATGCGCTTTGGAAATATACATCCACCGTCTTGCGGCCGACAACCGATTGTCGCTCAAAGCAGTGATTGAAAAAAAAATATTTACGACGATTTTACATAATCACCGCAATTGCAGTCTACGCTCGCAGAAACGTCTGGTTTTGCAGAGTCGAAAGTCGACTTGCAATTTACACTGCAATACCTTAATGCTCTCCAATTTACATTGCAATACTTCATCACCTTGCAAAATGCATTGCTCATCGGAAGGACCGTTTTTATCGAAGAATTACTGTAGACGTCTACTGGAGTTGTTACCGAACTATTTCGAAGTTTAATAATCTTGCAGCAACCGGATACTCGACGGTAGCCCTTGGGATATCTGTGGGGAGGTGCGCCACGCATTAGTAAGTTAGAAGCTGCTTGCGCATTTTAGGAAAGTTGAAGAGGTTTTTAGTAGAATCTCCACATTCAACAAGCCATTTCTCCAGCTGCATGAGGAAATGTAAGATTTGACAGCCATGGTTTTGCAGAGTAGCTGACAAACCGAATAAGTGAGCAAAAAAGAAATCATTGCGGGTACCCGAAGAAAAAAATAATTCGATTGAAGTGCTCTACTGCACGTAGTCACATCAATATTACCGAGGTACGAGAGCTCAAGAGCTCATATGCGTTAACTAGCGTAAGTTGTCGCTGTTAGAGTTATCCGTTTGACAACTTCTTCGTTGCGCACAGTTTGCCGATGGCAACGCGTAGGGAGAAGTTACACGGAGATAGAAAGGATGAGAATTCAGCCAAGGGCTCGAAGGCAAATGTATTATAAAAATAAATTCTTTTTATTAGGGTGTGGAAGGAAGCGAGAAACCCTTCAGCACTGCCATGGACACATAGCAAATCCAGTAAGCCGTACAAACATGTAGATCGCTCGATCACTGTAAGGCGAACCACCGGATCTGCTCAGTCGGTTTCACCGTCCCAACCACGCCAGTCCTTAATCGACCGCAAGACTTTCCTACTGCAGATGTGATGCTCCAATACAGCACTTATCATAGCCCCTCCAACTAGTACACCATGATTTAATTCGAATCCAAGTTCATGTCCTCTTCGCGTGGCCGCTTACCGGTACTTCGGGTAAAATGTGCATGCGGGGGAGGAACTGGTTTCACAGAAATGTTGTTCTTTGGGCCATCAGCCGCTATGGCTAAGTCCACTTCCACGACGTAGCCCACAAACACTTGGCCCATCCGCCTCACCAACGTCACTTCAGGTTTCGCGTTCAAAACGAACTCTTCGCATCCGCACAAATCGCAATGAAGATCGGTGGTTCGGTGTTATCCATAGGCGTGGTAGAGTGAAAGATCTCGTGGATATCCTTGATGTGAGTACTGCTGATATCATGTTGTTTTGCAACGGTGACTTGGAGATACGCCACATTTCCCATCTTGCCGGTCGTAGTTGGCTCAAGCTTCGCAATGCTATCAATATTGGGGAAATTGTCGCACGCAGGGAACCAATACGTGAGCTTGTCATCGTCTCGCCAGTCTTTCAGATAGGTTTTGTAATCCTTAGAAGCTCCCCATTGAACAGCAGCGCCTCTTTTTAGAGTCACCTGTTTGAAATCAAAGTGCCGAGGGTCATCTGGTTTCCTGAATTTTGGGGGGTCATACTCAGACACTTTGAGCGCCAATCGGTTGTCGGCCGCAAGACGGTGGATGTATATTTCCAAAGCGCATCCAGCAAGTGCTCCATGTTTCGTCGTCCGTGCCCAGTTATAAACCAGAAAAAGTGCGTCCAATGGAAGCTTAAACGAGAGCTTACGCAGCGTATTCCGAGTCCACCATTTGCTGCCAATGTGATGATTTGGTATAGTGTGTCAAATTCGCCACATCCTCGATAAATGTGCGGCGCATGCGGTCCACCTGTGAGTCGTTCGTCGCGCTAGTTGATTGGGTTGATATAATGCGAGCGACATCAGTCACCCCGTGGAGTGCAACACGAACCGCTTGTTCGATCAAGTCGATGGTTGGGAGAGTGAAAAGGCGCACGCTTCCACCAGAATAGTAATATCGATTATCCATCTCCACCGCGTCAAAATGGTACACTTGCTCTCCCAGCTTGAAAGGGTCCTGCTTTCTCCAGCACGGAAACAGGCAGAGGTACGCATCAGTAATTTCTTGATTTTTCAACTTCACTTGCTGCGAGGTCGCCAGCACGTTGTACGTTTGGAGGCCTTCTGGGATTTGGTGATGGTGAAATCCATCCAACAACAGCCACGCATTCGCATCACCGTGCTGTCGCCGCAACGCTTGGTAGATAGGTTCGGCTTCCGATACTTTGCACGACTCTTTTGAAAAAAATACGACCTTGTCACCGTCGTATCCCAGATATAACAGGCAGTTCTCTTGCTTGAATAAGGTCAATCGCCGGTACATCAACACATTCTTCTTGTGCTTGAAAACGAGATAAAAGGCCAATAAACACAACAGCGTCGACTTGCCGATCCCTGGTGAGCCCATCACAATACTCTTCTTGTTTGCATGCACGTTAATGTTCGAGGGAGAAGACGCACGAAACCAGCCATCCACCAGCACCGATACGACTTGCTTATCTTCGATTCGCCAATAGATTTTCCCACTGTTTGTGCATCTGCCCAATTTCCTCATGAATTCCCAAATCAGAGGAATCTTGTGCACAACGCCAATGTCCCATTCTTGGATCGACAAGCACTCCTCAGCGTATGTGTTCGGCTCTTTCAGTGCAGTGGTCGTTGGAAGAGGCACTGCTGAAGCCCCCTCCGGCACCTTCACCAGCATGTGAATTTGTTCACTGGATGGGAGCTCCATGTTGTTCTTCGTGTAGAACCACGTTGCTAAGGTCTTTGAGCCTAGAATCTGTTCTCCGGCAATCAGCGTATTGATGTAGTCGTCGGATTCTCCTTTCACCAGCTTCAGAGCAGCCCGATGTTCGTCTGGGAGCCATTTGAGCCTTTCCTTCATCTCCTTCGCAGAAGGGCGGTAATCAGGAACGACCTCTTTGCTGCTCTCCTCTACAACGGGCTGCTTCGCCAGGAAGAACTGCAGCTTGTCTGCATCGACATATTTGAGTTCGTTGGACTTTTTTTCCTTGATCGCCTTCTTCAACTTGCTAACCTTCGCAGCATCGTCGATCTCCACATCGAACGAGCTTCCTGCTTGACCAGCGATCACGCACTGTATTGAAGCCACTACCATTTTTCCACAGAGTTTTTTTCTGGAATGAGGAAGAAGAAGGGTGGAAATCAGAGAATTAACTGTATGTTGAGAGGCATAATTGTATGCAGCTAGGAATGCAAGTGTTTCCATTCAAGGTTTTTCTCAATTTTTTGGGTGATTTTAAAGTTTTTCTGTTTGATGGTTCTAGACTAAATATGCATTTTGCATGTCGGCAGATTGTGGTCAAGCTACGCGCTACGGTGACGCGTCAACATCAAACCTGCTGAGTGTTTGCTCCTCCAAGTGGGTTGCGTCTGCCGTCGTGCCTGTGGATGCAGAGTATACCGTATATACGGGTATACGGGTATACGAGCTATGCAGTAAGGATTCGCTCCAGGCACGCGATGGCAGAAACTAGTGGGGGATGGCACGTGTCCACCACGACTGCATGATCAAGAGCACTCTAGGGTACAGAGCGTGTTGTAGTTTGCTAGAGCTGCTTTCTTTACCTGTTTTAACCTTCCTCATTAATCAACTTTCCTCTCCCGGGTATTCGCGACAAAGCTAGCTTTGCGCGTGAGTTTATTGATCCCGGTCATCGCTGCTGTCCGGCACTTCGTCGCGTGTCGACTGAAGGAAGAAGAAAGGTTACACCGAACTACGTCGACTAAGTACGATTACCTAAGTGCGATACGCATTGGGCTGCTCGTTTAAATTCGGTTGAAGTGCTTAAGTCCAAGACTTCAACCATGTCCGCGCTTTACGGTCAACTCAGATGGTGACGTAGAGATGTCGATTCCCCAGCCTATCTTTGAGGTTATCCGACCCCCAGAGCTCTCCAGTTGGGAACATTCTGCGCTGATTGAGTGGCACCGTGAATGGGAGCGCTATGTGGAAATGATTCGCCATCGCTGTACGACCACTGGCGAGACATTCGAAAATGTCGTAGCTACAGTAAAGGGTTCAGTTAAGCGCAAAACACTGAGGAACTTAGCTACCTATGTGTTAAAGAAATCCGTTGACTCTGTGACCGATGCAGACATCATGGCGGCCGTGGTCGCGCGCTGCAGCACACTCAAGAATGAGTTTGTACCAGATGTCACGTCTCTGTTTCGTCAGAAGCTTAAGATGGATCTGTCAAACGTGATTGCGATGCTATTACGAAGATTTCAATAGCTTTGTGGAAGACAATAGTCTTCAAGGGCTAATAGGAGCCGGTAGTGAGACGGCCGCCAACTACAAGAGCAGATCTAAGGCCCGTTGCCGTCTGGATAATTTGCAACCACAGCTCAGATCACTCGACTTATCGACTTAGAGAGGTGTGATTGCAAGTTGCCCTCTTTGGTCTGATACTGGAACATGCGAAGGTGCAACAGCGATTTCATCGGATTTCGCAGGATTATGCTGCGAAGGCCGACACCAAGCCAGAACGTAAGCCACAACGTGCGGGTGCTACTAAGCCAGCATCGACCCGGATCTCGACGACGGCGGCCGTGACGTCTTCCGCGCCTGCGCGCGCTGCACGACCTCCTCGCCCTCCACCTCACGACGGGTGCCTCGTGTGCAAAGGGCCACATTGGCTCAAGGACTGCCCCACTGCCACGGAGGCGCAGCGGACTGAGGCCAGAAACAGGTTCCAGGAGGCCAAAGATAAGCGGTCTAATACCATTCGTTCCAAGGCTGCTAGGCTCGCAAAACCGTCAGGCTCTGTTCGGATTAATGGTCTTGTGGAAGTACCATATATTCCTGACACTGGTGCTGACAAGAGCATAATTTCTCAAGGAATTGTGGATTCGCTCCGAGCTGTACAGCCTACACTTTCACTAACCCCACTAAGTACGCCGGTTGATCTGATGGCCGACGGTTGGTGTGTGGACACGAAATGGCTGATGGCCGACGGTTGGTGTGTGGACACGAAGTGCTGTTGAACCTCGAGCTAGTCACTATTGCTGGGCCGGTGTCAATTCGCTCTGTACCGTGTCTAATTTTAGCTGGTGAAAGTGACGAGTTCTTGCTGGGACGAGATGCGCTCAAGGAACTAGGCATTGACGTGGAGCATCAACTGGCTCAATTGGCTGGTCAACCTCTTCTCGCTGCCGAGTTAGATGGGTGTTCAAGCGACTAGTATCTCTTGCAGTGTCAGAAGGTCTTCCGATACAACATATTGAGGCTGTTCGACGAGCCCTGGCCCAGTATCCAGATATTTGGACTGAAGCTATTGGTCCCGACCCACCAGCGCAGGTAGAACCTCTGCAAGTGACTTTACAAAGCGATGAAGTCCCATACCAAAGCCCGCCGCGCAAATACGCGCCGCTACAAGCTGACTTCGTGCGAGAGTATGTCCGGTCCCTTGTTGCCAATGGGCTCGTCGTGAAGAATAATGCGTCTAGGTGGGCATCGGCTGTTGTACCAGTGCGCAAACCTGGGTCTCGCGACAAGTATCGGATGACCATCGATTATAGGCCAGTAAATAGGGTCACTATTCCTATTGCTGGGTCGATGCCAAGCAATGCAACCACGACGGACGCTTTTGCAGGCAAGAAAGTGTTTGGAACATTCGATTTTACTCAGGGATTTTGGCAGTTGCCGTTACACGAGCAAAGCAGAGAGATCTTTTCTATCATTACAGAAGATGGCGTGTTCACGCCAAACAGAGTCCCCCAGGGAGCGACGGACTCAGCTCTTCACTTTCAAGGTGAAATGCAGCGTGTACTGGCTCCGTTGATACCTAACTCTGCTTTGGTGTGGGTGGATGATGTTATTCTTTTCGCAAGTCCAGTGGATGAGTTTATCGAGGTGCTAGGACACTTTTTCGCACTGGTCGCTGCGGCCAAACTAAAGCTGAACAGGAGCAAGTGCTCGCTATTCAAGCTTGAAGTGCTATGGTGTGGACGCCTCATCTCTGGGTCTGGAATTCGCCATGATCCTACCCGCGTAGACGCGCTATCTACGCTCCCACTACCCGCAACAATCGCCGATTTACAGTACTTCGTTTGCGCCACAAATTGGCTTCAAGATTCGCTACCAGACTATGCACGAATGATTGCCCCACTTCAGAACAAATTAGGGGTGGAAAAGTAGCGAGTCGGGGGACGCAGTCGGAATGCGCTGGACGTGCCTACTACTTGGACGACGGACGAGCAACATGCCTATGAAGCGATGCTGTCATTGGTTCGCGACTCGGCGCTGATGGCATCGCCGGATCCAGACGCGGAGCTACTTGATTTTACGGATGCTAGTCTCACTGGGTATTCTATTGTGGTGACCCAGGTTGTTCAATGGGACCCCGATCTTCCGGTCACCAAGCAGAGGCACGAAATGATCATCTGCAAGGGTGGTGTGTTGAAGGCCAATGAGCTTAACTGGACGATTGTGGAGAAGGAGGCATATGCGATCGTGAAGGCGTGTCAGGATCTGGAGTATCTATTGCTGCGCGAGAAGGGGTTTCGGCTTTATTGTGATCATGCCAATCTGGTGTACATATTTGCGCCACATGACGCTCTCCAATAACATGTTCGAGATCGACCCCAACGCTGGGCGATGCGGTTGTGCGGATTGCACTATGTGATTGAGCACATTGCTGGTGAGGACAATATCTGGGCGGACATTGTCTCTAGATGGCACACACGCGAGGTGGTCCGTGTGGCTGCTGTACAGACGCGCAGCCAACGTGCCACTCCTTTGGCGGTGACGTCTTCTCTTCGCCCGTTGTCTGATGAACAGTTTGTTTTTCCTACACTGGACGATGTGCGCGAGGCGCAAAGATTTGCTGGACCAGAGCGTGCACGCCTGCGAGCCGCTCTCGAGCAAGAGGACGGAATTGTGGCAATGAACGGACGCCCATGGATCCCCACCAGGGCCTCACACGCATTTTTGTGGTGGCGCATGCTGGCGCACAAGGCCACCGAAGAGAAGATCCGATGGTCACACTGCTGCAGCGACACTTCTGAATTGCTCGTGTAAAAGAAAAGGTGTCAGCGTTCATACGTGGTTGCCTACTATGCAAGCATGTCAAGGGCCCAAGAATGATACCTCGACCATATGGCCCAAGTCACACGGCGACAGTGCGGAACGAAGCGCTGCATTGGGATTTCCTCTCCCTTGGTAGTGGCTATGGGGACACTGCCTACCTACTGGTTGCCAAAGACGAATTGACTCACTACTGTGAGTTGTTCCCATGCAGTACGCCTACGGCATTTATTGCAGCTGAACTACTCTCGATGTGGTGCGCAAGGTTTGGAGTTCCTAAGTCTTTACTGTCAGACCAAGGCAATCATATTCGGAATGAAACGGTCAAGCATCTGTGCGCTTGAATGAAGATTGAGCAGGAATTCTCGCCGGTATACTCTCCGTGGATTAATGGAACGGTGGAGCGCCTTAACAAAGACGTGCTACAAGTGCTGCGATCCCTCCTGCTGGAGTATGACCTCGACTTCCATGAATGGCCGTATCTCCTGCCTGTGTTGCTGGGGAACCTGAATCACACGCCGCTACGATCACTGGGAGGTCACTCCCCTGTTGAACTGTTCACAGGACTCCCGACTTCGTCACAGCTAGACGCTGTTGTGGGTCGTCGTGATGAGGTCGATTTTGTGCTGGAAATTGACTTGAATGTGGTCGACGAGAAGCTGGAAACTTTGCGTCAATCGCTACATGGAATGCACAAAGATGTGCTAGATGAGAAGGAGCGCAGACGTCTGCAAGACATGGCAGCGCACAAGGGATCGGTCGTCAATTTTGACGTTGGTGACTATGTCCTTTGGTCACGTATTGACCAGCGTCTACCAGATAACAAGCTCTTGGGACAATGGCTTGGCCCATTCAAGATTACTGAGGCCAAGCCGCACTCATTCATGATCCAGCATCTCATCACTGGACGGGAGTATGATGTACATGCATCGCGTCTGCAATTCTACGCGGACTCGGATCTCAACCAGACTGAAGAACTCCTAGAATTGGTGTCGCGGCAAGGAATGGTCTTAGGCGTCGATAGTATCCGCAACCATCGTTTAAACAGCGAGCGCAAACGCTGGGAATTGCTGGTGTCCTGGGTGGGCCTACAAGCCATTGAAGACTCATGATACTCTGGCTCAGGATGTCCCTACTAAGGTCCGCGATTACGTCGGTAATAGTGGCGATGATGATCTGCGTATGCAGTTTGAGTAGCGCACCAGTATCGCTGAGCTTTGGGGGCAATGTCGGCAGATTGTGGTCAAGCTACGCGCTACGGAGACGCGTCAACATCAAACCTGCTGAGTGTTTGCTCCTCCAAGTGGGTTGCGTGTGCCGTCGTGCCTGTGGATGCAGAGTATACGAGTTATGCAGTGAGGATTCGCTCCAGGCACGCGATGGCAGAAACTAGTGGGGGATGGCACGTGTCCACCACGACTGCATGATCAAGAGCACTCTAGCGTACAGAGCGTGTTGGAGTTTGCTAGAGCTGCTTTCTTTACCTGTTTTAACCTTCCTCATTAATCAACTTTCCTCTTTGGAAACACCCTGGGTATTCGCGACACCTTCCTGCAATGGGCTGCTTCGCCAGGAAGAGCTGTAGCTTGTCTGCATCGACATATTTGAGTTCGTTGGGCTTTTTTCCTTGATCGCCTTCTTCAACTTGCTAACCTTCGCAGCATCGTCGATCTCCACATCGAACGAGCTTCCTGGATCACGCACTGTATTGAAGCCACTACCATTTCTCCACAGAGTCTTTTTCTGGAATGAGGAAGAAGAAGGGTGGAAATCAGAGGATTAATTGTATGTTAAAAGGCTTAATTGTATGCAGCTAGGAATGCAAGTGTTTCCATTCAAGGTTTTTCTCAATTTTTTGGGTGATTTTAAAGGTTTTCTGTTGGATGGTTCTAGACTAAATATGCATTTTGCATGCAGCTGCTGGCCTGCAATGTAAGTACGCTTCTACACCTTTGCTCGGCGTTATTCACAAAGTCAACAGTCAAATTTAAAAAAGTGCGCACTGAAATTCAAAACCCCGTCATATTTGTTACCCTTATTAGATGATTTCCCCGTCAAATAGTTCAAACTCCAGCCTGCATATCCTCAAAGCGAAGTGCGCGCTGGTGATGCGGCAACGAGTGACAAAACGCGCGGTTGCATAGCTCGGGTGCAGCGACTTCCGCGAAAAGAGGGTAGGCTGCAAGCTCAAGAAAACCGGAGCGATGCTAGGTTATAGTTGTGCCTGCTGGGGCGCGCAAAATTGCGGGTTACTGTCGTACAAGGAAGCGCTTAACGTGGTTTGTGTAGGCAAAATATACATTATCTATCGGGTTAAGCCTGGGGAGGAGATTCAGCATCTCCGCGCCTGCGAATTCCTCCTCGGCAAACACATCCTTCGC